AGGAGGGAAGGCCCGTCCATCGTTACAACTCTAAACCCATGCCTTCGCAACACACCCTCCCCAACCCAGCATCAACCCCACCCGAAAAACGAAGTAAAGGTGGAGGAAGCATCGGAGAACCACGAAAACAACGAATCCGATCATAGCGTGTACTGTTGTTCTTCCTTTAACACAAGTGCCCGCCACCACAGCTCGCAACTCAGCATGTCAAGGATTTGAGCAGAACAGCTGATGGCCGATCAAGTCCAAGTGCATTCGATATAAACATGTCCTTCATCCTACACAGTACATGCATGCATACATACATTCATACACAACTACATTAAGTATTTCAGTCCTTTTGCATCTCACAGTACCTTAGCTTAGCATCTAGGTTTGTATGCGCAAATAAGTTCACCATTGCTGCTTCAGTACAATATATACATTACGACAAATTCAGTTAGATGACAAGACATCGCATGTATGTGCGTGTCTATATGCAGAGGCATGAACATTTGGGGAGTGTGACGGCGAAAACTCAAAACCCTAAACCCTGAACACTAAACCCTACGCCCTAAACCATAACCCATAACCCTATACCCTAGAAACCCTAAACCCTAAACCCCTAAACCAAGTTTGACAGTCCCCGGATCTGCAGGCGGCCGTCGCAGCTGCTCGGCGCCATGGCCCCAAAGATGCTGAGGTGCGGTGCAGGGCCGGCAACAGGCAGCTGCTGTCCGTCCTGTAAGGTGGGGGATTCAGGATCTAGGTGCTTGGGGTTTGGGACTTGGGTTTTATGATTCCAGGATGTGGATTAGGATTTAAAGCTTGGGGTTCGGGGGTTTAGCTGAAGTTGCAACACACGGTCAACCCAGCTGTGCCAGATCGGATTGCTTGGCGCCTCCATGGGTGGTGCTGTGGCGCTGATCATCGGCCACGGTGAGGATGTAGGCACGGCGCTGACCAAGCTAGCCTTCGTAGCCATCATCCACAAAACAAAGCTTAGGTCCACGCGAACCCGAGGAGTGCCAAGTTACCTGTAGTGCGAGCAATGACGACATCTGTAGCAGCAGTGGTCGTTGATGCTGTTGCCGATAATGAAGGTGACGACGATCATGGTGGGGATGACGGTGCCGAGGATGGTGATGGTGGTAATGAAGGTGATCTCCATGTTCAGCGATGATGATACCATCACCACCACCACCAGCAGCATCATCATCATCGTAGTAGTTAGTAACTAGTATTCATGTCCTTCGGCATGGCAGGCAAAGTCAGGTTCGAACGGGGTCTTCGTTCTTGTTTGTTGCTTGTTAGTGGTGGGTGCTGCTACTACAGTTGTGGTCATTTTCTCGCAGCTACTGGTTAGCAGCAGCAATAAAAAGTTTAAAAAAGGACTGCAGCAGACAAAGCTAGCCCCAAGATGGAGAGGTCGAGAGTCAATGCACCGTAGACGCTTGCAATCATACTAAAGGGATGCTACAGTAGCTGCGACAGTCTCCGGAAATCTCCTGGAAGGGGCCGTCGGTGTTGCGACGGATTGCGCCTTTGCGCGGCTGTCTGATGTGCTCCTCAGCAGAAACATCCGACCTACCGACTCAGCTGCTCAGCTTGGAACCTCAAAACCTTGTAGCCTCACCCTCAGCTCTACCCGAGCCCTTCTTTTCGATCTGTGCGATGTGTATTGTCAACATCCTGTTCCATGTCCTGGCCATACGCCATACGCTTCAAACAGGTCAGAGGTAGATGAGCGTCCTCATAATCCTGCGACTTTCTACTGCGGAAGGGCGGGTGCAAGCGCAACTTGACGCCATAGTGTAGACAGAGAAGCATCAAAAAGAACAACTCGGCCACTATACTGGTCGAGCCTGTGAAAAGTTGAGCGATCCTGGGCATCCTGACCTACCGTGGTTCCGGAAAGCCATGCCCGGGCGTTACTTGGTGCCTCAAGAACACGACACCACTGCCTGCCCGAAACCCGAACCTTAACATACAAACATCCCCAAAGTCCCCACGATGCCACCTCAAAGAAACAGCGCCTAAAGATTGTATGGAGCCTAAACGGCCTAAACCTTAAACCCGAAACCTCCAAAAAACGATCCACAATCCCCACTTTACTTTTCTCTCTCCCTTTCGAACGCTCGGGCCTCCAAGCAACGGTGCTGTATAGCTTTCGAGGCGGTTGTGGTTAGGCTCAAGATGCAGCGCGGGTTTTGATTTGTCAACGACAAACAAATGCTCGGATTCCAAAATCGATCCCCGAGGCTTGAATCCCGCGTCTGCGCGACGCTTCGGATCCTTGGATGCTCTATACATAGGGGCCTTACACACGGCATCCGCTAGGTCACAACAAGATAATACAAGATAGGGGGTGCTGTACTATACTATAGGGGCCTTAGACGGCATCCGCTAGGTCACAGCAAGATAGGGGTTGCGGTATGTTGCGGTACTTGGGATGCTTATAGGGTGTTGTTTTAGGGAGTAGGTCTCAGCTCTATCGGGAGTTTGGCTGTTTTTTGCTGATTCGCGTGTTTGGGTGTGCAGGTTTGAATGCTTTGAGGCACGAAGAGGTTGTCGGGTTTGGGGATGTTTACCTCTTTGGGCGAGGGGCAGAATATGGGTTTCGAGTTCACTCTACAGGGAGCCACAACACTCAAAATGAGTCTTGCGCAAGTCAGGACTTCGGTTGTGATAGGTTGTCAAAAAAGGACCTACAATGGAGACAGGTATGATTGAGCTTCCAAGCCGAAATTCAACATCGGCCACTGCCAGACCAAGGTTTCCACAGCCTCTGGCAGCCTTCACCGTGGACCTGGTAAGGGGGGAAAGGGGGACGGGGGCAGGCGGGGGTTTGGGTTCCACCCTTCAGACAGGGATCCAAACAACAAGCCCCATCTTCTGGGAAACCTCACCCCCCTTTGCGTGCATGGGCTTCGGGTTGTTGCGATCATGAGAGGCGAGAGACATGCGACTCTTGTCCGGGATGAGGCCACCTTGCCCAAGTCTTTTCGCACCGTACACTCGCGACTCCCAAGCCGCTTGAACCTTTGAGGTATGGGACCACGTGCCTGAGAGTTGCGGAGACGCAACCAAGAAGTAAGTTGATCATTGATCTTGTAAAATACCAAACCTTGTCCTGAGAAGTGAGAAGGTCGACGGTGCAACAAGCGAAGAGGTTTCGAATATCCTGTGCAAACTACGCTACATCCAGACCAACAGCCCAGCATTAAACTCAGACTTGTGATCACGATCTCAGAAGGAAGAAGCCCCAAGCACCAAGCCTACGCCTTTTTCCCAGCTTGGGAGGCTAGCCATCTGAACCCGCTCCTTCACGGATACTCCTTCAAGGCTGTCTCACCAGTGGATGCAGTCGAGCACGGTGCCATGGCCTGCGTGGAGGGTGTTCGGGTGTTGCACTTCTTCAAGCAGTTAGTCGTTTGCTCTTGATACCTTCAGAGAGTTTGACGGCTTTTGGAGTTTAGGGTTTAGGCTGTCGGTCTTCAGAGCAGAAGCGACTCGGTGACAGCAGACGGAGTGGTTGCCGAGGTCCTCGTGCAGGGCAGGTGCCGCTGCTTCTGATCCATGCCGACAATGACGAGGTGCTGGTGCTGCATAAAGCTGGCGAATCTACGAAGAAGCACAACCCCAGTTTACGATCAACACCTTCTTCCGTTGATGCTCATGTCCTGATTATTGTCAGCATTTCCACATGTATTCTTGCGAATATTTGGTATGCGGGCTGAGATTTGTACCTGCTTGCTGACCCTGACGGATGCGGTGCATCACGCATTTCTCATCACTCGAATGTCAGGCATTGGCTAATGCTTGAGCCAACTGGCTGGGTCTGTGTGTTGGGTTGGCCGGGTGGTGAGCACAATGCCTTCGCTGTGGTTACGACCGATTGTGGCAGTGTCAGCAGAAGCTCTACTACAAGTAGACTTCCTGCCGTTCTAGAATCTTACTATCTATCTATCTATCTATCTATCTATCTATATATATATATATGTTAATGATATGAACAGGGACACCACAAGGGAGCGGGAACCATTGGGGGGGGCGGCGAGAGGGGAGGAGGGGGAGGGGGGTGGCCGGCCGCACCGGCATCATATATATATATATATACATATATACATATATACATTTATTTATGTAAGTATTTTTTATGTATTTATGTAGTTATGTATTTATGTATTTAGTTATATATCTATGTAAATGTGTGTGCGTTTCTGAAAAGCCTGCATGAGCCATAACCCGCTGAAGCGGTCCAGCCTGGACGTGAATTGGTCCTGTTGTATCTGCTGCCCTCCACCGACCCCCGTGAAAAGGATTAGATTAGAGTCCGTGGAGGGTTGCTCATAAGGCTTGTGGTCTAGGGTGCAGGACTCCCCTTCCCCCCTTTGTTTCCTGACACCGAAGCCCTAAAACCCAAAACCCTAAATTTTGATTTTGGCGAGGTGGTGACCGTTTCCCAAGCTCACGCCATTCACTCGGCGGCCTCGGCGCCCAAGGCCAGCGCTTTCCGGCCAAGCTGCAAGCTGTATATGTTCTAGTCCAGCATATGTTAAATGCCACCGTTTGCAAATACTCACATCTTTAGTTCTATATGCGTACGTGTACTTGTATGCACGCATGTGTATGTTCAGGAGCTTGTCGTGGTCCAGCATTGCCATCACGTTGGCTGCTTCTTCAAGGATCGGGCCAGATATTTGACGCTTGTCTCGCCTGCGAGAGTAGAGGAGGACTTCTTGTGTCACTGACTTCGGCAAAGGCCTAAGCTTCTGATCTCCGAGGAACCAGACCGTGTGGAGTAAAGTCGAGTTGGAGTTCCTTGGAGTTCCCAATGCCCTGGTCAGAGATCTCTGAAGTTCAAACTACGTGGATCCACTCTGCAAGTGTGAAGCCCCTAAACCCTAAATCCGAATTCTAAACCCGAAACCCTAAACCCTCAAACTTGAACCCGAGGAAGCTTGTCGCTGACTTCTTCGACTCAGCGTTTGCTGCAGCCGAGCGCCGCATCGGAGAAGGTCCAAGTTTAGCGTGATAGGTACCCATGGGCTCCATAGTAGTTCCTTTTTGTGGTTTGTATTTAGGATCCTATAAGGGAATCCCAAAACGGAACAACTATGGAGCCTACGGGTAGATGAGAGGTATAATAGGGTGATACATGCGAGGTTGTTACTGCAGTCACAGAAGGGTATACGGGGCGACCCTGGCTGAGAACCGGCTCGGTTGTAGAAACGACTCAACTACTGCCACCACCACTGAAACCTAAACCCTAAAAACCCATACCACTGTTCTCTGCAGGTTCCGAGCACCCCAACGAGACAAGTTGAATTTCTTCCTGGGTTTGATCGGCCTTGAGACGAGTTGACAATTCCACTGGGGCCTAGATTTAACTACCAATATAATTCCTTAAGGGCTCCTTATTATAACTCTACTATGAAGGAGCCCAGAAACCCTATTCTAATGATTAAGGGTCTACATTAATTGAAGCAAGATGCTCAGGCCAGTCCACACCGTACTTCAGGCCTGCGGTCTTTTCCGGCTCTTGCAAAGACCATTGCAGTCACTAGAACATGCAAACGCGAACTTCTTTTCGTAGACCCTCCTCCTCGTAACCGAAACCCAATCACACAAACGCGACAAGGATGTTGGACGTCACGAGGCCTGGCTTGAACGCACAGCTTGAGCTCTAAACACTTGGGTTAAAGCCGCAGATCCCGAAGCCCTCAAGCGCTGCAGCCAACGCAGTCACACCTCCGCACATCACTATGTACATCAGACGTCCAGATTCATTTCCGATTATTCAGGCCGGGTATCTTGAGCTCCGAAGCAACACCCCCGGATGTTCATACCCCAAAATTTTCAAGCCTAAACCGCAACATGCTACGGCCCTACATGTCCAAGCTTCAGCCTAAAACCACCCCTACACCCCAAACCCCTAAACCCTAAACACCTAAACCCTAAACCCCTAAACCCTAAACCCTATATCATGCCTGCACCCTTTACTGTTAATCCAGGCCGCGAAGTTCTTCCAACTCCGGAAAGGCCCGCAAGCCATCGGCCTGGCGAGCGTAGCTATAGGTCCCATAGGCTCCTGTGTAGTTCCTTTTTGGGATTACCTTATGGGATTCTATAGGGGTTTAGGGTTTAGGGGTTTAGGGTTTAGGGCCCCTAAGTATTGCCTTCTAGGATTCTAAATATAAACCATAAAAAGGAACTACTTAGGGGCCTATGGGTAGGTGTGCGTGAGAAAACCTATGTGTTCCCGCAGTCAAGTAGATGTCGGGTCTGGACTTTGGGAGTTTGATCCGAAGGCTTTTTGTAACTACGGAATCGGGTTCGAGAGGGCAAGGGACCCTCAACCCTATGAGCCCTGAAACCAGAAGCCCGGAATCCGAAACCCGTGACACCACATCTTGCCTGTCGTCGGGTCTCCTTCATGAGACGTCACATTCTCTTCGGAAATCTTAGAAGCCAGTTCGAGCAAAGGATGCTAAAATTGGCTCCAGCTGGGTGGAACGACTCCCGTGACTCACAGCGCAGCAAGACTAATTCTCATACCTACAGCCAAGAAACAAGGCCCCTAAACCCATAAACCCGATAACCTTGTGAGCCCGAAACCTTGAATCCTACATACCCTACAAGCCCTAAACCTCCCAACCCTCCAAACCCTCCAAGGCCTGAATCCTAAACCCCACCAAAAAAAGCCCTCTTAGCCCCGAAACCCACTGCAAAGCGTCGCGAAATTGATTCCGTTGCCTGCGACGGTCTCCAAGCGTGCGCGATCCATCCTCGGCTCTGCGTGGATACCGCGCCTTCGACTGGTTTCTAGTTTCAGGTCAAAAAAAACCAGGACTTTAGGGTTAAGCCTGGCTTTAGTTTTCAAACCAAAGATTATTGCTCATTGTGTCTTGAGGTTTAGGTTCGTCTTTACAATATGAATTTGAATTTATATATTCCCTATGGGTGATTTAACAGAACGGTAGAAAGTCTTCATAGGATTCGGTTTTACTAGGACTGTGTTACGGGGTTTGAGAAGGTGTCCGGTGGGTTGTTATCGGGCATGTTGGGGAGTTGGGGAGGGGTCAGAAGGTCTCTTTCGTGTTCTTCTGGGGGTTTTCATGGGGTGGGTCTATGTTGGGGGGGGGGGACGGACTCTAGAGGCGTTGATTGCTGTATCGCGAAACTACTTAAAGCCCGAGGTTGGCCTTGGGCTTTGGAGCACGGGTTTGGCTTTGGTTTCCCGGCTAGTTCAATCGCGTCGGCTGCTTAGTGCGGGCTGGGTAACAACAGACAGATGGAGCTCCAGGCAGAGGCAAACGCATAGAAGCTTACACGCTCTTGCACTATTTTGCTGTTCTAGAAGTGTTGTGCATAGTCAAGACGGTGGCCCAACAAGGGTCCGGCGCGCCCTTTCCAAGCGGAGGCTGAGGGCCAATGCAGAGTCCGACGTGTCTGGGTTGTTGTCCAGAGCATTTCTTCATGTTTTGCACTTTCAAAAAGTAAGCCGTGCCCGTGGAGTTCGTAGGCAGGCACTTGGATTTCGATTCTGGTTCACATGGCTGGCTTTTTGTTCTAAGGCATTCTAACGTACTACAAGGTTTTCGAAAGAGAACCTCATTTTGAGGTCCCTGAAAAACAACCCAGGCATTTCAGATTCCTTGCCTGCCACGGCATTAGCAAAGCAAGCTGCGTGCGCCCTGCAAGAGCGGAAGGAGGCTAGGGGCCAGAAATTTGTGAATTCCGTCAGCGGGATCTGGCAACTAAAATATCTGTCAGCTTATGAACATAGTTCAGAAGCCATCGACTCTAAAAGTCTGTAGGGTCCATATAACTGCTATTAATAAAAGCCAGTAATAGTAATGGTATACCCCTAAAACCCCTAAACCCGAAACATATATGTAGACCCTGAACGATTGGCCAGTCCTTCTGTTTCTGGGGAGGCCTCCCAAACCCAACTGCTGGCAGCGCAGCCAGCCCCAGCCGCACGGGCCGGGCCGGCTTTGCTTGTGCCTTTGGCGCCGCGCTGTCACAGCAACTTCTGCGCCATCGCGGCTAGCCTGCGAGGGGCCGGCAGGGAGAGCTAATTGCTGGGCTTGGCTTGAGCTGTTGCCTATAGGGCTGCCTCAGTTAAGGGGCGTGCACGGACAAAGGTTTCATTCATTCGAGCTCGTGCGTTCTCTCGTTCCTGACTTGGTGCTTTTTCGTGCCAACTTCGAGTCAAGATCTGTGGGGCATCAAGCCTATTTTTTTGGCAAGCGGCTTTAGAGCTTGCCGGTGGGAATTCACAACACATGTCGACAGTCGGAGCTTTACACTTCTAACAGATTGCACAATATGACGTTTCTCTCGGTCCTGCAAGGCCAACTCTCAATCACGGAATGGGAATGGGTTGAAGAGATGCCATTTGTCCTGGTAAAAAGCCCTTAACCCTCAAGCCCAAACCCTAGACTAGAAACCCTAAACCCTAAACGGCGATGTCCCCCAGACCTTGACTTTTTGCCCTAGGCAGGGGCCCCCATTTTTGGCGCCGCTGCCGCCACCTTGCCATGGTCAAACGCTCGGGATCGCCCTCCGCGACGCCGCCGCCGAAGTCTGTGGACGGCCAGACGCTCACGGAGCCAGGGGTGTTCAATCGGCATTGTGATGAGGATAACGGTGTGGATGAGGACGATGTCGATAATGACGATGGTGATGGTGATGGGGACTGTGATGATGAAGACCATGATAGCCATGATCATGATGGATGATGATCGGGATCCTGCTGATGACGACCATCGTCATCGTCGTCGTCATCACTGATCATGACCACGACCTTGATCATGATCCTGATGGAGATTAAGCTGATGACTGTGATGATCATATTAGGGGGTCTTAGCATATGTGTGTTTATAACTTGAACGTGCTCTGGGGGATGGATTCTGACTTATGAGTCGTGTTGCCAGCGCCCGGACAGAACGACAGACAGGTAGATAGAGAGCGAGAGAGCGAGAGAGAGAGAGAGAGAGAGAGAGAGACAGAGACAGAGAGCGTGAGAGAGAGAGAGAGAGGGAGAGAGAGAGAGAGACAGAGAGACAGAGAGATGGACTCAGAGCCAGTATTGAGTTCAGAGTTTGACCGTGTGGGCAGTGGGTTTTAGCATTGAAGCTGCTCCGTTGACGGGCAATTTTTCAGGTTTTCGTGTTCCACATTCCTGTTACGTCTAGGACAGGCAGCCCTTAGAGTTGAGAAAGACTTCAGAAAGAGTAAGGCCGAGGTTAAGAACTCCCTGTGGCCCCAAACTCTACAAAATAGTAGGTTATGATCCCTTAATTAGAGGGTGGAACCCATAAAACCGTAGGCTTTTGGATATCCAGGTCTCCATTGATATCCCGACCTTTGTCAGGAGCTGGGCCAGCAGACGCTCGCGGTGATCGAGAAGGCGAAAACCTGACGGAGCGGTAGAGCACCTGCAGGTAGGTTACTGGTTCTTCTGAATATGAAATGGTAAGTTGGGAAGGGAAAAGTAATCCCTTCCCCTAATATTGAACACCCCGCCCCCCACCTCCAATAAGAATTCGGAAAGCGTTCTTTTCTCTGCTCCGGCGCTTGCTCCCGCGCTAGCTTTTGCTCCTGCTTCTGCTGCTTCTGCTGCGTCTCTTGCGCCTGCTCCTTCTGCGTTTGCTGTTGCTCCCACTTTTGCTCCTGCTCTTGCTTTTACTCCCGCTCTTGCTTTTGCTTTGCTCTTGCGACTGCTTTTTGCTGATGCTCCGCTTTTGCTCTTGCTCCTGCTCTTGTTGTAACCTTGCTCTTGTTTTTGCTCTTACTGTGCTCTAAGGGGATTTGGAGCCTCGAAACCTTCCCTCTAATTCAGAATAGGTTTCAAAGGGCAGGGATGATTTCGGGAGGATTCGCCCCAATGTGTTTTTATGATTACGGGTGTGTTTAATACAAAGGGGGCAGGGATTATGTAGGCCCACAGCTGCGGGAATGACCAAACTTGTTACGTGTTCGTTTTGCCTCGTACGCCCTCCGACATCGT